ATGCACCCTCCTTCCAGTGCTCGCCATTGGCGAGCGGATCTTTTGGCCAGGCGAGCCGTTTGTTGGAAAAAGGGCTGCCCATCCCTAGAAAGTGGGCATTTCTTGCTGCTTGAAGGAGTCAGTTGGAACAGGACCAAGCCCCATGGCTGAGGATGACCGCGACAAAAGGGTCTGCAGAAAAATAATGTTGGGGGGTTTTTCCCGGGAATGCAAAGACGTTCGTTGGGGCCTGGGTGCGAGGGGTGGATTTCCCCAGCCCAGATGCCCGCCAGCTCCCATCGTCCCCTAATCAGCGTGCCCGATGGGAATGAAGGAAATTGGAAGCGGATTCCTTATGGTTTACTCCGATTCAGTGATTCTATCCAAGATGGGCTCCCCGTGTCAACATCTGGGCACGCGCAGATGTTTTCCTCCCTGCTTTTCTTCCTCTTGAAGAAATCGACCTTGCTAAATCTTTTCTGTCCTGAATTTTATTTTAATGGGGATTTTATAGAGATATTAGATCTATACTGTACGTTATACTATATTAGATATAGAGATATTAATATCTATTTAGAGATATTAATATCTGTATTGATATAAAAATTAGAAATTTGCTTTTCTAGGGCCTTATAGGAAAAAAGAAATCTACGTTGGAAATCTCCCCCTGGATATCAAAGAGGTGGGTTTTTATATTATATTTATCATATCAATATGTTATATTATATAAATAATGGTGTGTGAGAGAGAGAATGGTGTGCGATCCCTTGGGAAATTAAAAAGACCCCAATGCTTTATTTTACAACGGCTTGGTGCAAACATCTTTATAAATGTTTTTTAGCCAAAGCTGCCAGAGAATACCATGGCATCAAATATTTGAGGCAGCTGATGGTAATAGTGGAATAAAACCATCGATGCACCTTTGCACGAAAGGGATCGCTGGGGAGGGCGATGGAAATCTCTTTTAAAAAGCAGGATCGGGTCGAAATCTTTTTCCAGGCCATCTTGGAAAGAGCAAGCTTAAAATTTTCCAGCCTGGCCCTCTGCAGGGTCCTCAGACTGGATTTCCTTCCCTTCTCCAGCACCAAGGATGCCGTGTAAAACTTTTATTTTTCACCTCTGTTCTTGATTAGGAAGAGATCGCCATCTTATTCAAGAACTTTGGGATCAGGTCCGTGAAGAAGCACCACAGTTCCTTTAAAAGGTAAGGTGGTGGCTCTTTGACTTTTTTAATTTCTTGCATCTGGATGACTAGAAATCCCATTTTTTTTTCTCCAGGAGCACAACGGGCTGTTAGATCCGCCCAACAGGGACGTTGTAAGGCAGGCCAGATGGAGACTGAGCTTAACCAGAATGCTTGAGACCCTACCCACTTTGTTTTCCTTCACCCCAGCAATGATGCTGTGTACGTCTGCACCCCCAATCTCTGCAAATGGTCCCGTTTGGCCCCCAGCGCCATCTCTGGCCCACATGTCTGCTTGTTTCAGTTCACGGCTTTGAGATCATTTCAGCAGCAGGTCGAGGTTTCCATCCCTCCCACCCTGAGCCAGGCCCGTATTGCTGCAGCTAATACAGCAAATGCAATCCTAGGTTTGCACGAGAGGCACCCTTGCATCAAAGAACTGACCCTGTTTCTTGGGTGTTACTTTTGGCCAGGATCCTGCAGCGGGAACGGGAAACCAAGCCGTGATCTGAAAGGCGCCGGTTAAATGTAGAGAAAGAGGGAAGAATTTGCTTTAGAGCTTTTACGTTTTGCTGCTTAGCAAACGGGCCACAGTGTCCTCCTTTTAAAGGCTTGTAAAAGTGGGGTGCCTCCTGGGCTCCTAGGTGCCCCAACGCCACTGGCAATATTTGAGCCGAAGCCGAGGTGGCTAGGAGCCCATTTTCCCTGTTTAACGCCACAACAGCCCTGCGAGGTAGGCCAGGCGCTGAGAGAAGGAGCGGCCAGAACTTGAGTCTCTCTCCAGGCTGCTGGCTCAAGAGGAGCTTTCCCTGACTGGGGACGATGGGCATCGTCCAGGGTCTCCGAAGGGCGTCCGATTGGCGTTGGGTCTTCGGCTGATTTTCGACGTCCTTCCCCTTTATAGCTTTGCGTTTCTGGAGATGGTGTCCCCGGAGGCCGCGCAGTTGGCCGTCCAGCTCTTGAACGGACACCCGGTGAAGGGGCAGCTGATAACCGTCGCCTTCTCGGAGAGCAGGAAACCTCACGAGCTTCCGAAAGCCAGCGCTCAGATGCCGGTAAACCTCGATTCACGGGCTGCGCACAACACGGCTCAGCCAGCCCGCTTCCGTGGGGCTCCCCAAACTAGTCGTTAAAAGCTCACTTTCCCCCCAAAACCTGTTTCTCGGAGTCTTCTTTAAACAGATTTATGGAAAGGCGAATGAGATTCAGTGATGGGATTTCGAGCCTTTCCTTCAGCACCCAATTGACCTCTACATTGGTTAGCATTTTTCTTTTTCACCTTTCGCTGGTGTTCCTCGTCCCCCAAAGTGCTAAATCCCAGTTCGCTCCCCTGCAGGTTTATTCTACGTTAAAAAAAAATAAAATTAGCCTTCCTTGGTTAACCTAATTTCATGGGTAGGTGCGCCCGGTTTTTCAGGATGAAACAACCAGCAACAAAAGCCTTGCCTGAAGTTTAATAAAAGCTCTGCGTGCAGGAATCCATATTAATCCAGACCCTTAAAAAAAAATCTTCTTTTTAAGATACCAGCTCAACCACCGTGCCTCCTTCGCACCCCCGGGATCGGTGGTTTAAAGAAACTTTCTGCAAACATCCTTTGATTTTTAAATGCAAAACCGTTTGGTTCTCTATACTTACAACAACGCTCCGTTTTTAAATAGAGCGATAAATCGTGAATTTGAGGCCGGTTTCTGTAAAGCCCTACAAACAGGGCAGAATGTTTAAGGTCAACGTTTAACATATTTTTTTTTCCTGAGCGCTTTTGGTTCAAACCCTTAAATGTCAATTTTGCTATCAGCCCAGAACTTTTCATTGACCTGTTTGCCTCCGTTTCTCCTCGCTGTAGCTCAGGGAGAACAGGGCTAACCCAGGCCTGCCAGCTCGTTTTAGTTCTTGCACGTAATCATGGTTTGCTTCGTCATCGTTTTTCAACAAATCGTAATTGCCCCAGCCTGCTAAGTCAAAAATAAAATGCGATTTAGGCTTTTAGGGCAACTGAGGGTTATATTGGCGGGTGTTTCCCTTGCAAATGTGTGTTCTGCTTTTCTAGGAATTGGAGATGATCCCCTACAGAGAATTTGGACCGCCTGGCGGTACGAGAGAGATTTTCTCGTTTCGTTTGGTGTGATTTGGATCCTGCAAAAAGCCTGCCGCCCAAGGCAGGATTGCACCAGAATTTAATTTATTTGTTTCATGCTGGTTTAAGAAAATCCAGCTTTGGGGCAGGATCCGAGGATTGGAAAGGATGTAAGGCTCAAATCTGCTTTTTTTCGTCTCCCCAAAGGTGACCCCTACCTTTCCCCTCCTTTAAATCCGAGGGTCTTCTATGCGGTCCCCATGGAAATGAGGTAGGTGCCAATCCTGGTGGGAGAAAATGGGATATTACTCATTTTGCTACACGGGGACCCTCCCTGCGCAGGAAATGCGACATTGGCGTGACCGATTTGTTGCATTATTTCAATATTCTGCACGGGGTGGTCCGTTCGCTGTCTGGGGAACATAAGTCACTGCATCTTGGCTAAATAAACCAAGATACCCAGGACGCACGGGAACGTCAGCAAGTCCCTAACGAGTTTCCTGGTTCACGTGAGTTCCTTCGCTCGTGGCTTCTGCAAAAGCTTCTCGGCGATCCCCGGTCATCGCCAGGGATCTTCTAGATGACCTGGGGGGGTCCCGCAGCTCTCGGTTTTTCGTTCTTCGGGCTCTCCCTCGACTTCGGTTTTCCTTCCAGGAGTTCGTTCCTGCTCCACGTGCTGAACGACTGCTTCGGAGACGCAAGGTGGCTTCTTTCCGTGGCCAACGTGGTGGGGGACGTGGGACTTTTGGTGACGGACACGTTTCCGCTGACGCCGTATTTCTGGGCTATCGTCCTCGGCGAGGTTCGTGGGAGCAAGATGGGCCGTGCAGGGCATTTCTGATTAAGTGCCCAGGCAGTTTGGCTTCCACACGGAAGGAGCCGAGGGTCCCCCCGCCGGTTGACAGAGGCACCGTTGCTAAACCCTCATGAGGGCTAGAACCTTGATGTGTGCCGTTGGGGGGCAGAATCCTTGTTCGAGGCTGAAATCCTTTGTTTTGGGGACTTTTGAAAATCCAGGAACGTCTCCAAACCATGCAGAGACTCTTCTCGGCCTTGGCCGAAGCCGAGACTCAGTTGCCCTTCCTGGCGAAGCAGGACGTACGGCGGGGGATCCGATGCCTGGCCGAATGCAACATCGGGGAAGAAGGCAGCGCCTGGAACAGGTTAAAGGAATCAGTGCTCCATTTGGGGATCAGCCGCAGCGAGGGGGGATGTTCGGGGGAGGGTCGACAGATGGAGCCTCCAGGTGCAGTAGCAGTCTACATGCTGCACGCGAGAGGCTGGAGACAGACGTCGGCCTGTCCTCGGCTCGGAAGGCCAACTTGAGCAAAAAGAGGAATAAAAAGCTGACGTGGTTGGTTGGCTCTCTCTTTATCCCCCCCCCGTCCTGTCCCTCCACCAGATGCTGGGTTTTGGACACTCTGGAAAACGTGGCGGTGGTTTTCTTCGTGGATTTTGGCCACTGCGCCAACATCCCTCTGAGCTCGCTACGAAAGCTGGAGGGGGATGAATTCTGGCAAATCCGCCCCTTGGCTCAGCCCTTCGTGCTGGAAGAAGGTAGGGCTGGCAGACGCCGGGGTCTGCGCCGGCAGGGAGACCCTCCGATTTGCAAGCAGCCGATGCCCGGTTGGATCCTGGCATTTCGAATGATGCCCAGCCTCCACCCCTTTGGGTGGGCAAGACTCGTTCCGCCTCCTTGTCATGCCAGGAGGAGAGTGGCCATCATTTTGGGAGCTGGAATGGAAATATATTGGAATGGGAGGATATTGATGAATATAGTTAGAGCGGTGGTTCTCAACCTTGGCAACTTGAAGATTTGTGGACTTCAAGTCCCAGAATTCCCCAGCCAGCATACTTTAAGAGGGGTGGACTTCAACTCCCAGAATTCCCCAGCCAGCCACGCTTGAAGATGGGTGGACTTCAACTCCCAGAATTCCCAAGCCAGCATGCTTTAAGGGGTGGACTTCAACTCCCAGAATTCCCCAGCCAGCATGCTTTAAGAGGGGTGGACTTCAACTCCCAGAATTCCCTAGCCAGCCATGCTGGCTAGGGAAT